CTCGTCCTCAGCTGCGGCGGACCGTCGAGCCTCCAGCATCGCCGCCCTGCGCCTCAAGGCCAAGGAACACTCAGCTCAGCTCACCCAGATCAACATCCTGCCCCCCGGCGCAGCGGGGAAGGAGGTGTGCTGAACCTATCGAGGCCTCCCTCTCCCATTTGATGATATCCCTGCCACTCCGAACGTTGGAGCTCTCTGACCCCCAACATAGTAGCACGACCAAAGTCGCACAAACACTGATGAAAAACACAAGACGCACTGAGCGTGATAGCTTTTCAGACTCGCTGGCCACAGCAATCTAATGAGATCCCGAACCGAAATGTGTCATGCCCCCCCCCCCAAAAAAAAACACTGTCACAGATGTGATCATTCAAAATACAAAATAAATACACAGTATATGACATTTCTACAATTTTGGGTACATTAGGAGTCAAATTCTGAACTAAAACAGCTCTAACACTACACCCACTGCATTAATAAAAAAAACATTGTGACATGAATAGCAGAATCTCATTCAAAAATGAACACTCTCTAAAAAAAAAACATTGTGACATGAATAGCAGACTCTCATTCAAAAATGAACACTCTACTTATGAAGACTGATTTAGTTTGATAGTTTTTGTTCCCGATCTCATTAGATGGTGCAGATGTACCTCTAATTTTCCGGCCATGTCTCGACTTCAACCAGAAGTCATGGGCCACATACATAACCGGGCCCGCCAATCCAATTTTCAAAACAATTTGTTCACGAGTTGCATTATCATTTTTTTTTTCGGGAATCAGCATGGCCCACAGACGACGAATGGCTCCCCACGCTTGACTTAAGAATGTCATGAAAAAGCACCGCAACAACTGACGTGAAGCTGAAGGAGATCAAATGTCACTAAATTGTGAAGCGTGTGTTAAAAGAGAGCGATCCAAAAAGAATCACTCATACAAACGGGATCACTGTGCTACTTGAGTTCCTGGGAAGATTGAGCCAGTGCCACAAACACCCGGCGGCCACCACCGCGCCGACAACCGGTCCAGCCACCCACCCAGAACCAAAGGAAAACGGTCCACAGACCTGACTTAAGTCTTCTCAGCAAGCATGACTCCTCTCCCGCTGCTCAGCAGTCCTCAGGCCACACACGGTGTCCGGTCCGGCCTCAGGAGACACCGGCCGAGCCGGGACCTCTCGAAAGACTGTGTGAAAGAAAGCTGTACATATTGTGTCAAGAAGGAGGACAAAAACAAAACAACAACAAAAAAGCGATCCATTTTCCAAACAAAAGTGTGTGTATATTTCAGGAGGCCATGTTTTGATAATTTGCACTCGGTGTAGTGTGTGATGAATGTCGCCCTGTGTAGAACTCCATCTGTGTTTTATCAATTATTAGATTTTTACATCATTATTTATGTCCAGACGTTCCCCCCTCCCCATATGAACTGAGAAGTCTAATCTGCGTAATTGACCTTCTTCTTCTTTTGGCATTCGGGGCTGAAATGACGTGAAATATTATAGAACTATTAATAAAAAGTGTTATGAGGAGACGCTGATTTTTGTTGGGGAGCAGAGTTGTGTTGGCTGCGGCGCGCTGCGTAGCGTGGGGCAAACAAAGTGGGCGACATATTTCAGTTGTGTCTCTCCTCTTGAGGAGAGTTGACAAAATAGAGAGCATATATTCATGAGCCTAATCCCCGACGTGTGAAAGGAGGCACAAAGGCGAGGGGTTTTCAATTAGATCCACCACTTTAGCTGGGCGGGTGGCGACAAAACTTCCTTGAAAAAAGGCTTAGAGCCGCTAAATTGGTCTTAACATCTGTAATGCCCTGTCGCTGGAAGTGAGTCCTCTTTGTCATTAATGAAGTAACAAACCACTTCATCAGTCGCCTTTCACGCACATACACCTCTCGCATGGTTAATTCCCCACCCAAATCCGCCCAATTCTCCCAGCTCAACCCCCCTCCCACCCTCCCAAGAGGATCTTACTTGATGCGGTGACTATTACAGCAATCAATGCGCATTCTCCTCCGTTTGACCCATCTTTGGTGCCCGTGTAAATCGCGTGAAATTACCCTGAGGATTAATTTAGTCCCTCTTTTGATTGAATGCCGTAGTGAAAAAGCCTCTTCGTCTTCCCTCGGTGGACTTGTTTTGCAGGTCCGACACCTGTTAATCACTCAATTTACTCCAAACAAGAGGGTTTCAGAACACAGCTGACAAGTAGGGGAAGAGTTAGATTTGCCAAATTACTTGCCATGTATTCACATATTCACACAGGCTTCATGCAGGGGACACAGCTGCTGCAAAAATCGTCCATATACACACACACATTACATATACACGCACACACACATACACAACAGTGACCGTGAAGTTGCAATACACAATAAATAACTAAAAGCAACAGACAATTAAAACAATAAACCACAGCAAATCACAACAAATAACTAAAGCAAACATCTAAAAACCCAAGAAATAACAAAACAGCATATCAAACAACACACATTGAGCAACACGTCACAGATCATTTGATAATACTCACAGGAAAATATTCATGATCCTTTGTGAAGAACAACCCAAATTTGACATGAATAATCAATTGTGACCGTCACAATGTTGTGTCGCCACGTTTATATTATTTCCCCCCCACCCCTATCCCAAATTGTTCTATATTGATACCGAAATGTTTGTAGTTTATGCATTGGAAAGTGACACCCGGCGTCTTTTTAACTCCATACACTTCAGCTTTACAGAGACCATGTCTGTCGTGAAGGAAGCGATGGAAGGCCTACCCAAAAACACGTCACTGCAAAGGCGACTGCAACCACTGTGGGGTAATATGTTATTTTTGATGTTTGGGGCGGGGCGGGGGGGGGGCACCTATTTGTAGTAAGACCTTGATTTAATTTTATTGACTCTGTGATGAACTGTGGCACAACTTAGGAAACGCCCACAATCGCATGCCACACAGGTTTGTCCAGGTGTCCCTCCCACTGGATGCCCCACGCCAACCCCTCCCTCACACCTACTTGTGGACTTGATTTGACCCCTGATTTGGATTCTCGGGCCCACATTTTTCACACCACGTCCCAAGCAGAGAGGAGAATAGGCCCAATCACTCCACGGCCTCAGCTGGATCAGTCGCCACTCACTCAGTCGCTGGGAGAGGAGCTTCCAATGCGCTTTGATGAACAGCCCCCGCTCCCCGACGTCGCCTCCCCTCCCCGGGCCCCGTGAAAGAGCTGAATAGCGGGGCCACGGCACTCCGCTCCCCTCTCGGGTTGCCCCTTAATTCCTCGTCTCCCTTGCTCTCATCCAATTAGCTCCGTGTATTAAGCGGTTTATCGTCTCATAACCGCCCTTTCAGCTCCAACAAGGGAGACACTTTGCAATAGGACCGGCTCTCCTTTTGACACCCTCTCGGCCGCTTGTCGTTCCAGCGCGCTATGAATAACAGCCACAGAATGGAGGACTAATTCCCTCATCAAAGCCTACCTTGTCCATCGCTGGTCAAAACGACAAGCAATAAAGCTTAACACCACAATACAAAGAGACTTGTTCGACCTTATTAGCTTTAGTGGGGTCGAATTAATGCGAGGGACTCCATTTGACTGGTTTACAGCAGACCGGGACAAAACAAGAACCTCGCCGCTCGGTGAGAATAGCAGGCCTCTGCTATTTATCTTCAAAGAGCAAAAAAAAAAAAGAAAAAAAAAAGAAAAGAATAAAATCAAACAGGCTGAGCAGCTGGAGGAGACGATAGAATCAAATAAAGATGTAAAGTTCCTGCAACTTAAATACACTTGCGCTGGGTGGCGCGCAGCATGTTCGATTCCTTGTGAATCGTGATTTAAGTGCTCGGTCCACTTAAGGCTGCCTTTGCGGCTCACAATGGTTTCAAGTGATTTGTGAGGCGGGTAGAGTTTATGCAAATGTCAACAGCAGAACAGCGTTTGAACAGGGAATCGATTGAATGTATTAACAGCGAATTGTTGATGGGAAACGCGAGAACACTTGAACCACAACACAGGAAATCTAACCTGATTGTGGAGAATAACCAGATAGACTGCACCATTACGTCCGCCCGAATAGCCAAACGACATCCAACACGGGAGCTGTATCGATAAGAATACGGCTGTTTTGATTGGCACCCTCGGAGGCGGTGGTGGTGGTGCGGAGGCATTTTGCGGTGGTGTACAAGGAATCAGACGATGCCCCTTCCCAACTATTAGCGCCTTCATTCAAATCAGTGGTTTGCCGGTGCAATGGGGACGTGCAGTTAGGAATCCGTTCGGATAATCCACTTCAAAGAAAAGCCCCATGATTTCGATTATTTTTGGATAAATGAGGCTTTTCAAGGGAGGAAGGAAGTCTTCCCGCTCAGTGGACACTTCATGAGGTACACCTGAAGTCATGATTAAAATAATTTACCTTGACCATACGAGATCAGATTTTATTGACACGACTGGAGAAGGATTTGTTTCACAGTACGTATTGTTATTATTGCGGTCATAATGTCTCATGACGAGGCATTACAACCGCAACAAACAACTACATGTATGTTCATGTCTTTCACAGCGTCCATCAAAAGGAAATTGACGCGTTACCAAACGTGATCGCTGGGATCATGTCGAAAAAGACGCCGCGGGGAGCAACATAAATGACAAGATCAAGACCACATTTATTTCCCTTTTTTTAATGTTTCAGTATCAAGGACACACTCAACAATATCAAAACAACAACACAAATGACTCTCTTAATTACAACACTTGACAGAAAACGACAAAAATAAAAAAAAAATAACAAACCCGCCCCTTACCAAAGTCAACTCTTGCATCCTTTATCATGCTGCCTTGTGACTCACACGCAGATGCAGAGATGCGGTCTGTAGCCTGGTCTGTCATTGAGATGTCATGACTTTCCTCAATACTAAAGAGCGGTGTAATTGTTGGGGGTTGAAAATATTTCCCAGAACCATGAGATGAACAAAGAAATCTCATCCCGCATCCCATTTTTACTTGAGGGAGGTGAAGCCTTGGAAGAGTTTGGCCAGGTTAATTTCTGAGTAGGCACTGGTGGCGAGCGCTTTCTCCAGCACTTCTTTCAGCTTCCGGTACACCTCCTTTTCTTTGGTCCACCAGCCAGCGCGAGCTGAAGGGGAGGGTGGGGTGGAAATTATTTTGTTACTCTCAATTATCATGAATTGGATCAAACATATAATTGGGGGACATGCGGCGAATGACACTGGGGAAGACAATTTTTGTTGAGGTTATATGTCCGACACCGATTTGAAACATTTTTTTGGGGTGTGGAATGCAAAACAGATCTCAGTTTTCCTCTGTCACACCAAGTTTCGGGGCTGTCGGATCCCCGTTTTTGTAAAAGTGTAAAAAAAAAAAAAGTGATGCGAATAAAACACTAAAATGGGATTGTTACAAGCTTCGAAAACAAACTCAAACAAACAAAAAAAGAAAAACTAGACTGCAATTTTGGAATCAGAACACCAATTTGTTGTAATCAGCCTAAAAATCGGACTCAACAGACCCCCCCCCCCCCAAAATGTTCCCCAGTGTATTAAATCTCCCGTATATAGGTATTTACCTGGAGATGCTTTGCTATCTCCCCATAATGCTATCACTTTGCGGGTCGGGCTGGAGATCACACAATTGGACCGGTGCAAGCACAGAGAAACAAGAGATCAATACAGGAGTCCAGCGAGAGCGTGAGGTCGATACCTCGCGTGTTATCCCCTCGGGTGGGCCGCTGTGAGACGAGCGATAGCATCTCAGACAGAATGGCCGCGAAATCTTCCCATCGGTACAGCAAGCGTGGAGTGCGCATCAAGTGTTATAAAACTCAGTCATAGCGCACTGTCCGCCCCCAAGACGTATGATGCTGCGGCCGAAGGGACCGCAATTAACAACATGTTGGGTCTGATTACGCCACTTGTGTGGATGTCAAAATTCACATATGGCTCCATTCTTTTCTGATTTCAATTCAAAGTAGGACGCCACATCTTCCCTTCCTGTATCTTTAATAATAACTTTGCTGCCGCCACCACACGGAAGTTGAAGTGGATATTTGTTGCTCCAGAAGAAAGAATAAATCAGCGATTGTTTTTTTTTTTTTTTGAGGCAGTGGTAAACTAAGAGTGTTCATTCAATACATTAAGATGGAAAAGTACCGTAAATATTGGACCCAAAAGGACTGAATGCAAACACAGACGTCCAAATTGTCCATATGGTCACATCTCCCGTCTTGTCCTTCCTTCTTCCTACATTAGTGGGTGCTGTATAAATAGAAGCCTACCCGGTGGCCACGAGAACAAAGGTTAGATACACAGAAACGCACACGCCCACGCACACACACGTGATGTGGTCGAAGTCAACGGCATCATCAGAACATACTCGTGCTAACAGGGACACGGATGGTGGGAGAAGGGAGACACAAATAAGTCTATTTATCTGGGTAATAGAAGTGGGGGGGAGGGCAGGCGGGCGGGGGGTGATGGTGCATGATCAAGCGAAAGCAATCATGTCATCATTTCTAAAAAGGTAGAAAATCACCCCCCCCAGCATTGCTCTTCCTCCCCTCGCTGCCGCCTCAATCACAAACGTTGAATAGATAAAGGATTTAAAAGAGGAACAAAAATAGAAGAGAGAACAAGTTGGAGAAGTATGCACAGAGGAGCTCATACAAATCACCTCCACTGAAAGAGAAGTCTGGAAAGTCGAGACGAAATTTCCATGACGTGATCTACTAAACTGCAGTGAGTGGAAGAATTTAATTGCTCGTGTGCTTTTGCGGCAAACCATCGATTGGTTGAGGGAGAAATTTACATCTGCGTCGCAATGAGTACGGATTGTGTGAGCGGCCCACTTAAGACGCTCATACTGTACTCGGGTTCCCGCTGCACACCGAACGACGCGGGCGAACGCCACCGAATAGTGCGCCGCTGATGACGACCTTTGCTGCCATTCCAAATTTGGATTATAGCTGAATGGCGTCACAGCCCAAGGTGGGCATTTTACAAAGTTTTGTCGCCATGTCATTGGTCAGCCGTCAGCGGCCCGGGTAGCTGTTCGTCACGTCATTTCAACCACGCTTCTGTCGCTGAATTTCAGCGGTCAGCCAGTTCGACCGTCAGTCCCGACTAGAGTCATTTGTTGAAATTGCGGCCTTAGCAGTTCATAGTGACTGAAAACAAAAGCAATTTCAACCAAATACATCTTAAAATGTCAAGTTCAATTTCAACATTGGTGGTCTCCTTAATTGCTTGCAGCTTCACAATTCTTCAAACCGTTGCGAGTTTTTGTACAGTTTCTGCATGAATTTCTTTGCACGATATCAAAATAGCCTCCCGGAGCTTCCGGTTGGAACAAGCAAAGTGGCAAATGTGCCCGAGTGACCTGCCGCTCGCCAAATTCACCCGCATTTTGTGGGTTGGCTGGCGGGAATGTCGAGCACAGGCTTTGAGATACGATTAATCAACAATCCAGTTCACCGAATTCTTGAGGTTCAACAAACCAATAATTATGCCCAACATCTGCAGGAGAAGATTGATTGATCACGCTACCTACAAAAATATAGACGCACGGATACATGCGAGCACCTCAGGGGTTCCCTTCGCTTCAGCAAAGGTGCCGCAATTCCGGCAGCGCTGGGCACGAGCATGTCAGGGCTCCGCACGCTCTAACTAGGTGTAAATACAATAACAAGCCTGTAATTAAGTGAGCATGATGAAGTTAATGGAGATCGGCCATCGTGTCGGCCGCCCCCATGAATATTCGATTAGGCCGGTGGCGGCGGGCAGCTGGAATAGCAGTTAATTTAATCACCACTCGGAGCACGGGGGAAACTTCTTTGTGTGAGTGTAATTGCACAGAATGAATAATTGAGTCGACAATCGCACCCACGGACTTGGCCGTGCCCCAGAAAGGAAAAGGGAGGATGAGGAGAGGTGTGGAGGTAGAGAGAATGGGGAGGGGAAGGAGGAGAAGGGAAAGAGAGAGGAGAGGGAGGTGTGTGTGTGTGTGTGTGTGTGTGGGGGCAAATGCAGAAGCCAGTCAAAGGGACCATTAGAATAGTGCAGCTTAAGGACAATTTCATTTTATCAATGCGGCCAAATGACATTACGGCTCACGCGCAATCATGCTGCCCACACTCCAAGGCGCGTGGAGGGGAGGACAAAAAGCAACAGACGCAAAGATGAAAAGTGACAAGAAATGATTGGAACTCGTCTATATGAGATGCCAACCGACGAGGTGGTTTGGGGGGGGGGGGCGTTCTCACGAGCGGGCGGCGTGTGCATTATCTATTACGAGCTCTCCTGCCGCGGATGAAATTACCTCCCTGTTTTATCCAGCCGCAGCAATCAGGCACAAAAACGCCACGCACATGTAGATAAGACGCGCTTCGTTCCAACATCACGTTCCATCCGCAGCCGTTCGACTACAATGTGGCCTATTGTGAGCACGTATACAAACAAATGCACAGACACGGACACATTTGAATGCGGCTCGAAACTGAAAATACAAAAGGACGGAAATGGCCACTGAGTTGAAACTGGACTAGCCGAGCTACGGTTTGCCTGTTCGATTGCAATTATGCAGTTAGAAATAGGTAACTGGTATTGTATAAAAAAAAAAAAAAATTGAGAAAATGATATTCTGTGGCATTTGTAGTCTTATATAACATGATTGTCAATGATGGGGAAAAGCTTTACAATTACTTTGTGTACATTGCTGACTAACAATTTCATCAACAACTCGCTGGATGAAATGCAGCTTCACATGCAGTCTTAACACTGAAGAACTTTACGTAATATGAATGTAGACACAAAAAGCAAGGAGTCTTTAGTGTTTTCTAGGGTCCGACGGATTAATCGGGCGGACGAGTAGGATGCATTGCGTTGCATTCAAGGAAGCAAACACTTTTTTTTAAAAAAATAAATTTAAGGGGGGAATCGGGACCAAAATCTGCAAAAAAATTGGAGCCCACTTAAATGAATTGGGGAGGGAAATAGTTTATACAAGATGTAGTTTTTAAATTAACCGCATGCACACGTTCTTACACCAAAAGCACCGAGAATAGAATTGTCTGTCTCATACCCGTAATCTCAGCAATGTGGCCCCTGGGTGTGTAATGCAGTAATATGTGGTATTATGGCCACAGGACCGAGGAGAACACCTTAAACCTATACTTTCTATCAGCATGAAGTTGTGTGTCTGTTCGGGAGCAATGAACATCTTTTTACGGACCCATTTCTTAAAAAAAAAAAAAAAAAAAAAAAAAAAAAGCACCTAAAATGACTCAGTTCTTCCTGCCAATAACGAAATGCTAGACAGTCATGTTATCCTCTTCACTGTGTTGTCCTCCTCCTTCAACACAAAGCGAATGAAGAAGGTGCGGCATAAAGCCGAAGGTGTTTCAAAGGACAGTTCTAGCAGCAATTGAGAAATACATGCTCGAAACATACTCTAATAGTGTTTAAAAAAAAATCTTTGCACGAACTGCTTTGAAACTTCACCAAAATGCCAGTAGATTGGTGATAAAGCTCCCATGTGGAGCTAAGAAGGGCAAAAGCTTGGAGCAGGGGGAAGAAACCGTTACCGCTGCTTACTGTTTCATGTGAAGGGGCTACCAGTGTGATACACACTTGAGGAAGGAAAAAAAAAATCTTGAATGACCTTTTACTACTTACATTATGAATACACATTCGTGATATTCTTCGGAAACATGCATAGCAATATTCAACACTTTTGCTCTATGAATCTATGCCAATCTGCATTTTCAAGAACAGGGCCACGGGCTATTCGGCTCGTCGGTGCCCGCGGGCACCACGTTTGGTGACCCCCCCCCGGCCGGCTTTGAGGATCTGAAATGTTATTTGACATCCAGTTGAATTTGCAATTGTAAAACGGCCCCAACCGCTTACAAAACACGTTCCATTCGGTCGCGTGGGGCGGTACAATACAAGAGTAAGTGGCCGCAAAGCTCAGCAAAATGAAGGGAGGCGAGTCAAGAAGTGATTGGCAATGATTGCCTGCATCCAGCCTTAGACAAAAATATAATAAGAAAGCAGAAGTGGGGAGCTATAATCATGTTAGTCGCCCTGCGCTGGTTCAATCCTTATATTTTAGCGCCTTCCATCATCTGAGTGGTCATCTGCTGATTACAAGTTATATTTACCTCCGTTGTCTCAGTCGCGGCCGGCTGCCACACAGCTCGGCCATTCAGGCATACATACATAAATATTTAATCAAATAAATCAATCACTCGGTCGAGGCGTCCTTTCTAATCAAGTGACATCAATCAGGGAGAACTATGCGTAGAGAGGCCTTGCGGCTTCTGCCTCCCCAGCGCACCCACCGACTGGAGTAGGGTCTCTTTGAGTCGGGGGGGGGGGGGTAGGAATATACGCTCCATGTCCCATTACAGGAGAAGGGCTATCCTTTCTTCAGCGTGCCCATTACTTCCCCTATCATTTCTCCAAATCTAAAACCTGTTTTCAATCAACACAGCCAAACGAGTGCCTGTCTAAGAGAGCGAGTGAACGGGGAGAGAGAGAGAGCGGTAAAGGTGGACAGTGACGGAAGGGCTGGGGGAGCGAGAGGGAGGGCTCTTTCCGCCGTTCTCCCGGTGATTGGAGCATTTTGCATTCTGTACGTGTGCGTGATTGAATCCGTCTCCCAAATTAGGGCTGTTGACTCGAGGAGATGAATGTCCTTAACCCCCCCTTCCCATGTACAATGCCCATACTTTGGTGTGTGTGTGTGTGTGTGTGTGTGTGTGTGAATGGTGCAGCAATGATGACTATTTTAAGTGCAGCCTGGGTAACAGGCTTACTTGGAGCCATTGATTGTTAATGCTATGTTACATTTACAGTATTTGTGAGCAAAAATTGATGGGGGACATTAAAATTCACACGGCACTCTCACTGCTGTGATTTCGATTTTCAAAGCACTACTGCGGCGTTCCAACACAAACAGCAAAAATGAATAAAATATCACAGCATTTAAAAAGCAATGTCAACCCTCCCCCACTAACTGCAAATGTCCAAAACTTTAGAAACTATATTAAAAAACAACAACTTCATAACATGTTGGTGGTTACTACCATAGCGATATTCAATTATACATTTACACATTTATATCTTCAAAAATAGCTTACGTTACTTTATCACATTAAATGAGACGGCACTAGAATGTACAAATAGCCATACCCACCTTTTTTTTTTCCTCAGAAATTTTTTTTTTGCGGATGCAAGGGCGACATGACAGTCCTCACCTTAAGTTTATTCACAGAATGGATGCATGCTGAAAACAATCCATGGGTGTAGGTCAAGCTCAGCAATTGTAACTCATACTAACCTGACCTCGCAGGGAACCAAAAAGTGAAGCAAGCAAATCCGGTCTTTATTCCTCTGGGGGATTATCCATTGAAAATGTGTTACTAGTTTAATTGGAAATTGTTTCCTTGCGGTTTGTGCAATATACCGCACACTCGCAGTACGCCAAGTGAGAGGGAAACTGTCCGCTGTGTGTGTGTGTGTGTGTGTGTGTGTGTGTGTGTGTGTGTGTGTGTGTGTGTGTGTGTGCGCGCGCACTTACTTTTCTCTTCTCCCTGTAGTAATTTGTTCACCGCATAGTCCCAGTCCAAGATGAACCTATAGAAGCAGATCTGGTTGTAGAGGGCCTTCTCCGAGTACTGCAAACGGATGCAAAGAAACCAATTAAGTTTGGCGCATTTATGAGAAGACGCTGACAAAGAGGAAACGTGCGGAACATCGCCGTTCCTCTGCATCGCGAGAAAACAAATTGTGCTTGTTGTTCTTTTAACCTTTACTGCAATTAGCCGGGAGTGGATGACAACGAGCAACACCGAGCCGTCTAAGCAGAAGAGGAAAGAAAGATAAAAGGGGAAAAAAGAGAAAGTGGAGTGAGATGAACAGAAGGCGACACAGACGGAAAGAGAGAGTGAAAAGAAGGGCTCGGGCCTGAAATTCCCTCCTCCCTCGTAATAGTTTGTTGTGATATGCCATTGTGAGCAAAGAACGCGAACAGCCGAGGCTGTCAATTTGATTAGCCATTATATTGCATGTTTAATTGCAGTTATCGGATCGTCATTTCCCCGCGACGCTGGAGAGGGCACGCTCAGCCCCGACCCCACACCGACGTCAGGTGTGTGCAGAGTGCTTTATTATTACCGCCGGGAAGAAGAATCCCCCGACAATTCCTGCGTGTCACCGTTGGAGCGAGCGCGTGCCCATTATACCTGCCAATCGACCGCCGGCGTAATTGTAATTTCAGTTTTTACTACAGCGGCATAATCAAGTGGCAAGAGTGTCTAATGTAGCTCCGCGCCAAATATGATGAGTGAGTGTGTGCGTGCGTGCGGGTGGCTGGCTGCGTGCGAGAGGTTGGAGGTGTTTAATGGCCGTCAATGGCTGCATGCGTGGCACGCACAGCTGTTGACCGCCGATGTGCCGCCTCGCCAACAACCGAACCATGTCGGGCCGATAATGGAACCTCGCTATTGGTTGCCAAGGTGGCGCAAGCGCAGTCGCACGCCATCTTGAAAAGAAGCACGACGCGCCACATCCAGGAAACGCAAGAACATACACGCACCCGCGTTCACACAATGTAACGCTGATTACAGGCCGGTCAATAGTTGCTTTCTGATTGATCGACAGGTGTCAGAAAGGCGTGGCTAAAACATTACAGGGTGGTTATTGAATTTGTGGCACCTCAACCCCACCTTTCTTTGGCATACGCGTACATACGGCCGCCTCGTCATTCGGCTAAGCGCTTTGTTCCCGCGCTGACACCATTTCAATTTGCTCCACAAATCTGCAGCATTTTCAGCCTGACTGCCTAAGGAGCAAACCAGCTGTGAAATTGCCTCTCTCCCGGGGGCGCAGGACGCCCCCCCTCCCTCCTCACCACGTCGTACCCCCTTTGCTTGTCTCCGTCCCCTACTGACTCCCCCCCCCCCTCCAAAACCACCACCCAAAAATGTGTGCACAAGCAACAAGAATGTCAGAAGGAAATATGAATCGTTATAAAAAATGTACAAATGGATTTCCGAATCATTCTGTACCCGTTGCGAGTTGCTCTCAGATTAAAAAAAAAAGAGCACTCAAGACCTTGCAGTACACAAACAACGTCCAAAGAAGTGGTGCGTCTGACTTTGCTTAAATCAGATGCAATTAAACTAAAAGGCAGCCGGTGCGACAACATGGCCGTGAGGACAAAAACGCAATGGGCCGCAACGAGATTACAAGGAAGGTACGGATGGCACCTGTGAACAACAAGGCCGCGCTGGTACGGCATCCGGCCATTTCATGAGTGCAGCTGCGAGAAACAAGCTGCGATGCCGGGATGACGGTGAGAGGCTAACATACATTTTCTGTCAGCTGTGACTCCAGCGTGCTTTAAAACTTGTTTTTTTTTCCTTCTTTTTTTTTGGAGATGCAATGAGCGTTTATTACTGCTGGAGCTAGTTGCGCTGATCAGCTTGACAAGACACCATAATGAGTCAATATATGTAAATCTTTACTAGGCAAACACGACGGGAAACAAAGGCATTTAACTGGTGCTCTCGCCCGCAAGCCACCAACCATTCAGTGCCAGTAATTTCTCTATATTGAAAGGCATAATTGCCTGCTATTTGAAGATATTCATGCCCAATTTTTGAAATTAATTTCAATTGGGGAGAAATGTAGAAATGTCAGCTCCAGTGAAAGGGATTTGATTTCAATTATCCTCGCTCAAAGGACTGTGATTTCCAAATACACTTAAGCAAAATTATGACAAGAATTTTTGTTCGGCAAAATTCAGTGTTTAAAGAGCGATTAGGCGATAATGGGGCAGCTTTGAGGCGGCGGTGAATGCAGCCGTCTCCCTCTGAAAGGCACTCAATTATCTCTGATTGCTCCCGCTATAATGTATCAAATAGAGATACCTGCTATTGCCGTAATTTGTGTGAAAATTAACACGGTGCAATTTCCACTAGAGGGAAAAAGGGAGCTCTAATGGGCGCCTGAGCGTACATCAATAAAGCAAAAAGGGGGGGGGGTTGTGGAGGGAGGGGGGAATAAGTGGGAGAGCTAACGAGGGAGGGGGGAGAGGGGAAGAAAGTGAAAAGAAAAGAGCAGGGGCAAGAAAGCGGTGAATAAAAGGGAAAAGAAAGGCAAAGTCAGGAGGGATCTGAAACAGGGCGTGGAAAGAGAGGCTACTTGAGTTAAGCGCCGCGTACGTGGGTGGGTGGCGGCGAGGACAGTGACGAAAGGAACAGCGAGGGAAAGGGGAAGAGAAAGGAATTTAATTTCCTGAAAATATTACAAATTGCACCTGTGCATAACTCCCCCAAATTACCAACCAATCAAGGCAGAGTGCCTATTACGCCGCCATTACATGGAGATCGGATCGCACTCTTGATGCTGTGTCCAGCAGGAGAGGGCGGAAGAGGCAAAGGCAGAGTGAGATGGACGGAGAGACAGACGGGATGGAAAGCGCGATACGAGGGAGGGAAGAGAAGCGAGCGGAGGCAGCACCCATCGTGATGGGAAATGGACCATGACGCTAAACAGAAAAAAAAAAAAGGACCAAACAAGTCTATTTACATTCCAGTGGTGGATGCGGCAACATGAAAATCTGATCGTCTTTCTGGCTCATCAATCATGATTATATTAATAACGCTATTATTTCCAAGTATATTAGGATTGACCGTCTAACTTATGTCAAAGAGAAATTGCAGCTCCAAAGTATTCAACATTCTTAGCAGTGGTGGAGCCCTTGACTCACTCTTCGTAAAATAATAAGCTCACTGTCAACGGTGGTTATACAGTCTTGTCAACAGTACTGCAGCTGGCTGTCTTCATTATCTTTGGCCTTCTGCGTAATAAGTAATGACAAAGTGTGTCGCTAAACATGATGTTCGGGAGATGGTAAGGCGTAGAGAGGCTGCAAGGCTGAGCGAGAAACGTACAGAAACGGCGGTTGAGTGAGCAGGGGAGAGTTTTTATCCAGCCTGTGGTTTCAAGTGCCACAGCCCTCAGGTACACACACCAACAGCCTTCTAAGTGGCCCAAGTGACAGCATAAATTGGGCTTCTGAGTTACAATCTGTCGCCACAAAGTCAGAGACAGCAAAGCATTGAGCGCAGTGGATTAAGAACCCCCCCCCCCTCCAAAAAAAAATAAAAAACCTGACAGCAGAGTTAGGGCAAGAGTTAAAACGGAATGGGACTGAGGACAGGCAGACTGGACAGTCACGCTCAAGAGAGAGAGTGTTGTTAAATCCAGTGGTCAAGCTAACAAAGTGCTGAAAGTTCCAAAAACAGCAGGTAACATTGAGCCCGGTAGAAGGGTGCTCCAATGCTGTCAACACGCACCTTTAGCTAGACTGGCAAAAGATTAGTATGACGCAGTGTACTTCGATACAGTGCCAGTGTCATGGCCAAAGCCACGTAAAATTTGTTACTGTGTTAAACTGACAACCAGAGACTGATGATTTTCCGCTAATTAAACCACCGAGATGGTCCCCAAAGGCTTCGCTGGACTGGACGCATGCACGTCACCGACACTTGATAAGTCGGAGGCCGAGGCGAGCTCCGTGTGGTTTTTACGTCGAACCAGCTAGCTAGAAACGAGCTTTGGCTGGCTAGCTCAGAGACATATTTTGTAACACTCGGGGCTTGGACTTTGAGAATTTCGGCAACCTCTGCAGTGACTGCCATCTTGAACCTGGAGTGCCAGGGTCTGGCCACTTCAACCATTATTATACAAAAAGGTGGAAAACCAACATATGCCGGATAATTTGGAACATACAGTGGACAACCACAGTAAGAAATTTAATCATATTGAATCTGTGAAAGAAAAACCTCTGTCAAGGCACAATTTTGATTTAGCTTTTGTATTACATCTCAGTCCACGGTATTGATGTACGTATGAGGTATGTAGAAGTGAAATAGAACAGTGATACATAGATGCTCCATACAGCATGTGGAGAGTTTTCAGCTCCACAGCACCATCACCTGGACAAATCCGCCAGTAACCATCGGTGTGCTTGTGTGTGGATTTATGTCAGATTCAACCCAAACAGTTATGAGGTGCTCGTGCGTTACCTCGGGCCGGAGTGTCGCTTTTCTGCAACTTGGGCAGATGGGTCCGTGGCGGGAGAAGGCAATGGGCAAGCGCCTGGTCCTGTTCTGGCAAGCCTGGTCCTCACAAACCAACCAGCCCTTCAAGAGACACACACACATATGTTTTTGTTTTGTGCACGTGTAGTTTTGTACTAGTTTGTTCATGCATTACGCAGTTTTAGCGCTAAAGTCCGCAGAATGATGCTTATGAACCCGACTTGGACCGGAGCTAATGGTATCATCATGTTTAGCTAAGTTGTGGCTGTGGGAGTTATTTGCATTTGCCAATATTAGGCGCCGTACCGCTCCAATTGTATTTCAGCAGCTGGGTGATGAAATGGTCAACTTAAGAGGGATGATGCTGTGCACTTGTCAGACAGGCAGCACACTGGGCAGCCACAGTTAGCCCCCCCTGGGTCGAGTTAGTAACCCTGGACAGGTGCTGAGGCCTGACTATTGCAATAGGCCTGTACTCTTACAAGCAGCCCACCCACTCCTCCCGTTAGCTCCTTCTGCCCTGTTATTAGTAAATGGAGGGGGGGTGGTGGGGGGGTTAATGCCCAACTAATGACAGAACATAAGAAGCACAGTCATCAATGCCCAGGCTTCCTTCCTTCCATTCACTAACTCCAAATAAATCCCGACAGCATCTGCAACCTCAACACTCCTCTCAAAACTGCGATTCCAATGGACTGAAAAGTAAAAATTGCTGATGCAATCACGTAGGTTTGCTGAAGGTGCTGAAATAAATTCTCAAGTCAATTTTGATTCAAGCCATAGATTAGACTGATAGACAAAGAGAGAGGGGGAGAAATCTGAAACAAGGAAATCATGAGGAGCAAAGAGGTGCGCGGGGTGCCATCTAATCAAGGTATTTTGCCAGACTTGGGAGTGGAGGTGTATAGTCTGTCGTGGGCGGTATAAAGGCCCATAATTGCCTAATTATATGAGCGAATGCACGACATACTGTATGCAGACGTCAAAATGACTTCTACATCATTTAACTCAACAAGGCAAGAGCAGGACACGGCAGGGTCCTCGGAATTAAATGTAGGCCGACATCAAAAACCTTCGTGTCCACTGAAACTCTTTCGTCATTTCCGTCTTTGGTAGCAGCGGTGGGTCAGTGGATTATGCCAGCCTTCTAAAAAAATTTTTTGGTCTGCTATCATACTACACTTAAATTATGCAAAATATCTGAACTGTCAACACACACCCAACTAGCCAACCCATGGGACATAGAGTCCTTCAGTTCTTTGGCATGACGACCCCCCCCCCCCGCTTCAGTCAGTGCTGTTTATAATTTAGATTATAGCACATATGCTCTCATGATATCCATCCATTTTCTAATCTGTTGAACTTCTCACAAGGGTCGTGCTGGAACCTATCTCAGCTGTCTTGGGGCGGTAGGCGGGGGTTGCCAGCCAATCGCAGGGCACACACAGACAAAGAACCTATCATGATATCATTGACCAAATATCGAGGTATGGTATGACGAGTTACTCCGTGATCACTAGGCCTGGTTTGCAGGTGTTCAAAAGTGTATTTTGCCCCTCATGGATAGATGGTGAAAAAAAATTTGAAATTCAGAAAATCAGTCAAAATGACAATAGACGCTATTTGATGTTCCACGGATGGAATAATAGTCTGAGATCTATTGTCAATATTAACATGGAGCCAGCATGATTCCCTGTACCAGTGGATTCCACTTGCACACGGACACAAAACCACCAACACTTGGCTGCCAAAATTGCCAGCTCGAGTCACAAAGACCTAAAATCGATCGACTTGACGACCACATTCAACTCCGCGCGCGCGCGCGCACGCACGCACGCACGCACACGCACACACACACAATAGAGCTCAAACGGTTCCACTTTGTACACTCCCCCGCTTAATCAAAGCTTCTCAATTCAACACTTTGACCTTTTGTTCGGAACAGGATTATCACTTTCTCCTGTCTTCATTCACCCTTTCCCACTTCTTGTCTTGCCCCTCAGCCCGTTTCCAGGGGCGACCCGCACATTGAGGGTAATTGCAATAATTTGTTAAATGCCATGGCAACGGCGCTCAGATGGGAGGGGTTAAAGAAGAAGAAGAAGAAGAAGAAATGGCTGGTTCAATGAATCTCTCATTTTGCTAAGACAGCAGGACCAGAAAAAGAAAACAGAGTGTTTGCCTCTTCTCAGAGTACAGGTTTATTCATAATGATAGGGAGGGGTTGGTAGGGGTGGGGGGGATTCACAAATGATTAATGTCCCCGTGGTTGAGGATGCCAACACAATTGTAGGCAAGTTACGAGTGACGATACACGGAAGTGCCCACACACACACACACACACACACACACACACACACACACACACACACACACACACACACACACACACACACACACAAAACAAATGCAAAGCTTTGCCTCTCTGGCCAGACAAACGGCTCTATTTGAACTCTCCCTCGGGCTGAAAGGAATCCTTAATTACACAATATTTCCCCTCTTCATTGCCCCGCTGTGTGTGCTGTGTTCACTGCAGTTCAGTCACTTGTGTGTGAGAGAGAGAGAGAGAGAGAGAGAGAGAGAGAGAGAGAGAGAGAGAGAGAGAGAGAGAGAGAGAGAGAGAGAGAGCGCTCGTGTGTGAGGTGTAAGTATTCAGTGGCAGCAGCTGTTTCACACATTGTGACAAAAGAGTTGAGAGGGACTCATTCGCCACACATTCCCCCCAATAATTGATTTCTGTTCAGCACTGTGGGAGAGTAGCACACACACGCACACACACTTTTACAGACAGTGCATTCCACTCCCTCAGGTCCAACATCTAAGTTGCCAGAAATTCCTAAGTGAAAGAGAAAGGGGAATGTGTGTGTGTGTGTGTGGGGGGGGGGGGGGGGGTGCAGCACGACCAGCAACACTTGAAAGATAATTGGCCAGCATTAAAAGTAAGGAAAATTTGATTGTTTTGTGCTTTTTTTTTTTTTTTTTTTAGCGACTTGGCCTCCCCTATAAAATTGTGACATTGAACACTGAACAAAGCAGCATGGTTAATGAATATCAACATACGACTAATTCATGGTCACAATACACAACAGCGGCAACATCACCTCTTTACTCTTTTTATGCAATGTCTTGTGTGTACCAAGTGCATTTAGCTCGGTTCATGATCCAAGAAATAGTAGTAAGCGAATACCAGAGATCCAGATGTTGACAAAAAAGTCGGTTTTAAAATCTGGATTAAATTTGGGACTCATTGTTGCCTCTGCAGGAAAAAAATGGGAATGACGCGTAGCGTGAATTGGTGAATGCTTAGTGCTCAGGGAGGTTCCCGGACAAGGTCACAAAGATATACACATGATCAATAACAATCGTCACAGCAGTTTTGTAGCCGTCAGCAACGGTGTGGTGAGTGCCCGGGTGACGTAAGGCACGTAAGCAGATTTCTCATTGCCACATCATGGCCAAATTGCATTCTTTTTGTCACTTTAGGAACCAACACGACCACATGTTAAATTTACAAACGGGTAAGGAAAGGGACAAATTTGCTCTTCAATTGACATTTGAGTATTTTCATGGATCATGATCCAAACAAACATAACTGGTGCTCTCTTACTTTTGCAAGCATAATGTGCTCTTTGGTAGAAAATGTCAGCGCAGTGCCCCCGCTGGGGTTTGCTTCATCTTCTGTCCAAGATATTTTTTTTTTGATTGCTTCCCTTGTCATTACCGCGGGTTTGCTTCATCTTCTGTCCAAGATATTTTTTTTGATTGCTTCCCTTGCCATTACCGTACGGGCTGCCTCCATTTTCACACACGAGGAAAACTTGACTGCATCTTTGCTTAAAGAAACGCAGACGCGTGTATTTAACCAAATGAAGCCCATTGGTAGGCAAAAGGCATTGCAGATTCAAATGAGCATCAACTTGGAAGATAAAAGTGGCTTGCAGCGATGTGCAAGTCAAGCAAGGTGAAACCGAAATGGGTTGGAGGCCCTGCAGACAGTCGGTGTGTGTGAAGCATTGCAGTGATTTATCATAGGAGATGGCACACAAGTGTACCGGACCGCAAACAGAAATACTCACAGAGTAGTATTTCTTGATGTAGCGTCGGATGTCGAGAAGCAGTTTGTTGCTGATGTTAAAAGCGTAGTCGATGGGGCAGCCGCCACAAGGCACGTGGCAGCAGCGCAAAAAGCTGGGTTCCAACTTTGATCCCTGAAAGACAACATGCATCCCTCCACTTAAAAAAATAATAGGAGAGAATTACAAAAAAAAAAAAAAAAATCGACAACCAAATGAATTCATAATGATTCATGAATCATACAGCAGCGTCACCGCAGCTACATTCACCGAGACAATTTGTCATCAACAGCAATGACCTGACCAGCTGAGCACGTCACACACAACGTGAGTGACGTTGGCTCGAATAGCGTCATGTAGTGCCGTGTTGGGCAGCGCTCGGTTGTAATCACCGAATCACGGGCTCCGCTGAAATTAATCGCCGCTCTCACCGTGAGAAGAAAAACACATCTGTTTTGTATCCACCAGTTAAAGAATAGCACATCTGTCTGACTCATTTCCATTTTAAGGAGTTGGTGGACTCCCGATGCACGCTTGGGTACACCTTCAGCGATGTGACCGTTTTGCACTTTGGGTGAGGGACAAACGCTCTTCTTGTATTCCAGCAGCCGCAGAATATCGAATGAATTCTACACCGTAGGAAAGGTTTCTTCTTCTGATTGATACAACTCTTTGCGAATGAAGACTCCATTGACAACGTCCCAAGATATTCCTTGGAAAGCGAGAATTGTTAACCCAGCCGACTGCACACAATCAGAGTATATCGTGGTCAGTCACAACATTAGACAAGGAAAAGACACAATCAGGCTTGCAGAAGTCAATTCCTGGTAAAATCAGACATCCATGAAAGGAAAAAAAAAAAGTCCATAACAATTAGACACAGTCTAAATGATTTAAACACCCATTTCAATTCTGAACTCCATTTAACGAGTGCACTGACAGCAGCAAAGAAAAGCTTTCAAAGACGGGCGCATGCAGGGTGACCCCCCCACCCCCACTCGGCCTGCATCGGCACTTTTAGTAAAAACAAAGACTTTTGATGCCTTGGTGTCAGCTGCCTGCCTCGCCTAAAGGCAGTTCAATGAATGAAGTCTCTCCAATTTTGTGTTTCATTCCTTCTCTGCTCTACATGACCTCCTCCCCTGCTACTTTTTTAACTCGCTCGCTTCATTCCGATAACAGACATCCACCCCCAAACAAAATTATGCACCTCCTTACTTTACTTGCCAGCTCTTTAATGACCGAGCAATTCAATAAAACTATGAAACACTCGTCTTGATGTCAGCCTCGCAAAGGAGTTGCAATCAATCTTGTGTGCGGGGCTTACAACGTGACCCAAAGAACATATCTTTGACATCCAAGCCTCCTGCCTGCCTTGAAAAGCGCACGTTAGCACTCTTCGACATTTTTAAACGGTTTACTGTGTCAGCTGAGTGTTACTCATCTGCAGCATGATAATGTGCATGTTGATTTAACTGGCCGCACCTCTAAAAAAGTGAACTGGTGGTGGGGGGGAGAATCCCTGCGGCACCTTCAAACAACTCTCCTCCCCTGTCTGTCCTCCATCATCTGTCACCGCCTCCTCCGAGCCCGCCTGGCTATGCGTCAAGGCCCATCTGTCCTCCCCTCTCAATGAGCCGTTTGACCATGTTGGCCACCCTAATTAACTTACCATCTTATCAGTGACTCATCGTGGGGAAAACACAAGCAATAAAACATATCACGGACAATCAAGTCTGACACGCTGGTAACCAATTAACTTCCACGTTAGATTTATTCTGAAGAGGCAAGAAAGACTTTAGCGTTGGCGTTTATGCCTGAGAGTTGATGACAGATTCTTTCGATTCCAAATATGAACAGAAAGCCTTCATTTAATGGAAGCTGCTTGAGGCTGCGGAGGATAAGCGGGATGTCAGGTTTATTAGAGGCTTTAAGACGAGAAAAGGCTGCGTGCCCTACTCCTCATTACAAGCTGATAGCGCACACATAACCTTGGCCTGACAAGCGATCTGCGCAAATGCGTATGTGTGCGTGTCTACAGAACGGCACGGGTTAAGGAGAGGCTTTTCAAGTTGTGGTGTCCAAACTATGCCAGTGAAAACAGAGTCCGTATCGGAGCCAGGCGGCTGTCTAAAAATACGAGCGGAGACACAATATAGAGGAGGACTGCACCATGAATCACCATTCTTACACCGATCTGCCTAAGAGTCCATTTCACCGGTCCAAATGCTCACTAATGATTTAAAAAAAAAAAAAAAGAGCCAACAATCATGTCGTTAGCATTTCAATTCATTGTATACTCAAGCTGTACACACACAGTACAAACTTGTGTTTGCACAGCAGGCTCAACGGCAGCTACGTCGGTTCAACGGTGCAGGGTGGAGGCGACCCGTTAGCCGGGACCAGAGAGTCATGAACTGGTCAGACACTCTGCAATGGATACAGGCTATTTTAAGAAAATATTTCAAGAGTTTGTTTTTATTAGGCACAAATCTCTGCAAGGTTCTTGACCATCTGCTTGACATTTATTGATGGAACGCATCCTCCGCATCCTTTAGGTGTTGCTCAATCAAAGTTGTTTGCTCCAAGTATTACAACGAAGCTGCTTTTAGCCACTTTGAACTCTCATCGGAGGACATGAGAGCGTGCCACTCTTGAAAAGAACACGTCACTCATCTCTCTGCCTTGGCGGTTATCCCGATTGGGTTTGTCATTGGCTTGACTGAAGTATGACCATGACATATATGGCTTCCTAATTCACCATTTGGAAGTTTTTGAAGGGATCGTCACAGTTGGGAGTCGTTTCAATATCCCACTCATGTAGATTAATTAGGTTACCAAAATACAAGACGGCTCAGGAGGGCGCCAAGTCACTCTACACTGCACACTAATAAACCATCTCAAATTAAGACGCCACTGCAAATGTACTTCGAAACTAAGCATCATCCGTTTGACTTTTTGAAACGGTTGTATTCCGTCCAATCAGATGAAGGTGGATAGCGAGCAGCCGACGGGCATATTGCAAGTATTTTGCGATTGAACCAAAACGAATACTCGCATGACAACTCATCAAAACATGTTAAAGCCTCCACAATGTGGATAAGGTGCTTCTGAGTCAAAGGAAGTATTCTTTTGTATGACGAGGGCAAACACTGCAAAAGAGTGAAGGAAAACAACTCACGGCCCCTTCAAACACGCTTTCATAAATGTTCTCCTTCCCACACTGAGGGCAGGTGAAAGTGAACCTCTCGCAGTCTTTGTAGTGCTCCTCGTCCGTCAGCTGGATCGGCCCTCCGAGAGCGCCGCCCACATCCTCCTCTCTTTGGTGCAGCTGATGAGACCGGAACTGACTGGGATCCAGACCTAAAGCAGAAACCAATGCTGAAATTGGGCATCCCATGTTTCGCAGCAGAATGGTCTGAACATCATGAACATGCGTTCTACCCAGCCACGTGGCTATGAGCACGCCGTCGATGCCCTCAATAGGTTCGCAGATGCGGGACACCACCGGGTGGATCTGCTGGGCCAGATAGTACTGCGTGTCCAGACTGAGACCGTCTTGCTTCTGGAGTTGCTCTAAAGCGTACGCTCTTTGAGTGGCTGCCAACGTGGAGCCATCCTGCAGGTAAAAAGCGTCGGGTGGGGTGAGCAGAAAGACTGCACTCCAAATTCAATAGCTCCTTACACTCATCCAGGGATCGTTTACATTCAAGTTTGAAAGTCCGAACTGATCGATTCATTTGATAGTAAAGGCCATATTCCGCGGAGCAAACTCCACAATTGATTTAGTCGATAGAAGAGTTGGATCAACAGTCGCAACTAACAAGATGAGTTCATGTCTCCGGAGAGCAAACACACCTTGCAGATGATATAAGAGACCGTGTCACCAGCTTTGACCCTGCGCCCACCCTGGGAGTTGATCCACAGAGCCACGTGGACGTGGGGCAGACTCTTCTTATCTGGGTAGTCCTGGGGATCTTTGGTCAGTGCCTGGAGGGATGGAGCGAGGCGGAAGTGGAAGGCGACGACAAATGCAACTTTGCTCGGTCTACAACGTGTCTGCTACCTTGTTGATCTCATATTGTTGGAAAGGTATCGCCCCGCCGGCGACCCTCTCTCCCACTTCCGCCAGGTGTTTCTGTATGTTCTCCACAATGATGTCGCGACTCTGGTCTGACAGGATCTGGCCAATCACATAGCTGCGACCGGAAAGGAAAGCCCCTCTGTTATGAGCGTCCCCGATCCCGCTCTCGTTTTACTTGACGGCAACGTACTTGCCACATTCCTTCGCCAGGTCACACCAATCTCGCCGAACTATGTCCAGGCCTTTGAGCTCCTGCTTGACGCTGTAGCGCCCATCGCCGTGCTGCTCCACCACCAGAGCTGCATATTTCTTCTTTTTCAGCAGCAGAAGTGACTTGAATATGCCATCAATGTCGATCTCCAGCAGTTTGTACAGCTTGTTGACTTCTGCTTTCACCTGAAAAGACGAACAAAAAGCAACGATGCAATTCGAGTATTAGAAAAGGAACTGACCGTCTTGACTAAGTGTGTTTTTTTTGGGGGGGTGAGGGGGGTGGGGGTCTACAGCCACCTTGTTGCCCAGCTTGAAGACTTCCTCCATAGACCGGCTGTTGGTGTTTATCATAATGGAGTCGGTATCTCCATAGATGACCTCCAGGTTCATCTGCGCAGAAGAGTAATTCAAGAAAAAAATACACACTGGCTAGGACTGACAGTTTTGGCTCTGACTTTATTCGGTGAGTTACAGTACAAATCCAATTTTTGTTAAATTATTCAAATGCTAGAGTGCCAAGAAATGAACGGATGGGGTACACTAACCTTTTGGACCATGTCTTTGGTGTGCATCAGAATCTGAATGACGGCAAATGCGGACAAAAACAAGGATTAGAACAAAATTGGTGATGCCGCACATTTAAAACAACACGCAATATGATGAATCAATATATTTCCTGTCTGTGTGTGTGAGCGTGCGTCTGGACACAAAAGCAGAGCAGGTGATTTCCTTTTAAACGGGGGATAATTGGCTAAGAGGGCAATTATGACCTCGTACTGTGACAGCCATCTTTTCAACCCTCACACATCCACGCTGGGCAAAACACGCGATCTCTCTCTCTCACACACACACACACACACCTTCTTAATGACTCGTAATGGCCTTAATCACCCGAGGAGTGACTGAAGGACAAAGACTGCGAGTAGTGGCTGTCCACGGTGCGCGTGCACATGGATTGGTGCACGCGTGTGTGTGCGACATCCAAAGGAGCAAAGTGATCCTAACAGGTGTGGGCTCTGGGTCTTGAACCTGAGAGGGGGAGGGGGGTCAGAAGGCCGGACCAAACTCAGCGTGATCTGTCACTGCCAATCTGCACCTCAATCAACTGCGGCGGCAGACGCGTGCGCACCGACGACAGCGAGCGGTGTACGGGGACAAGGACGCGGGCTATTTCGGAGTAAGAAAGGGGCTGGGTGGGGTACATCCACTCCCTGAAACCAGAGTGGGACTTAAGCATGTTTTATGGAGTGTCACATGCCACTGTACAGAGGCGGGCGTTTGAGTCATTCACCCAACAGCCTCCTCCATTAGGGGCTGCGCAACAAGGTCAAGGTCTCGACACACGCGCGCACACATCTGCGGTGGAGGCTTTTCGCCGACTCAACAACCCAATAACATGCTGAAAATGAGGAAAAAGGGCGAGAACCATTCCAAGGCCGTGACTGAAAGCGAAAGGCTCAAACCGTCTCATGCTAGTCCACCATTAATTTCAAACTCGGAAACAAGTAAGACTCACGCCAATAACTTGAGCAAAGAGGAAACTCCACTGAAGAATGTTGGAATTCGAGTTACGAACACTCACACTGACATCATGTCGACTCTTAACAACGCAAGTGGCGAGTCGTGACACAACTCACGGATAAAGCCTATTTCTATGTCCACATTTCATCTGTGATCAAAGAGGGAAAACGTTGGCATGTTCCAAGTCTAACAAGCAGCGGGCAGACAGAAGAAAAGGCTACACAAGTGCTAAGTGGACAGATGCCGGGAAGTCGGGGTGACAACAACGTGAGGCAAAGCAAAGTGAGAATGTGTTGATGTAAATAATGTGCGGACTCATTTAGACACATTTTCCATATGCTGTCACTTCCAACGGGGCGGGCCGCTCAAAGGAATGAGCCAAGTGTAAGACAAGTCGTTTGACCATGGCACTGGAATTTGTGCAACTGGTGGTGTGAGCACTTATCTTCACACACACGCGCACACACACACTATGAATCATGAATCAAAATAAGCTAATAAAACCCCTTACCGGAGCTGTATGAAACTTTACGTCTTTTCAAATCTAATTTCACTGAGGAATTAAATACACATGAAATGGGAACGTTGTGACGTGCTACAAAGCCAATTAAAAGCATGCCAATATGAGCTATTATCTCTGACAATGGTTTCAATTGTGTTAAATTTAGTCCATGACCACAAAGAATATCGCGGGTGGTGTTAACAGAGAAAGAGTTAGCTAATAGATGCCATTGTTCGGTTATTGGGTCGCCCTCATTATTGAAGGTCATCAAATGTCACGCGGTTCAAATGGCTCTTGCTACCCTTTTGCCAGACAGTTACTTATTTGAAGTGTCAACCTTAATTAACCTGCTCGGATGAGTTGGGAATGGACCCACAAAAAGACGGACCGGCTCACGCCAATCTCCTGTTACGTGACCATTTGGATACCACACAGGATGCGCCTATGAGAGGCTAGCACGTTAAGCTGCATTTGGACTGAGAGCTCTTGCAAAAGGAGCCTTGGACAACGGCGCCAATTGTTTTGAAAAGCACCCCGACGAAAAGCATTTTAGGATGGCCGCGGGCTGACGAAAATAGCACCTGTGGAGGAACACGGTGCTGTCAGTGCCGCTCGAGGGTGGAGGGTATAAGCGCACGTGCAACATGCTTGGGTATGTGCTTTAACACACTCCAAGAAAAAGACTCGGGATAAAGAGTGAGGGGGGGGGGAAAAAAAAAAAAAGATTACAAAGTTTTATTATTTTCCCGCTAACGTGAGCATTTACGCACACAAAAGCACCAGAGGCTTTGCTCCCAAAACACACACCTGTCTGAAAAGATGCCGCAGCTGCGTTGTCATGTCTGCCGCTGGGCGGGTCAGTCTGTCACAAGGCCGTGTCTGATTTAATACCGCTGGCAGAGATCACAAATGCAGGCATTCATTGTAAATAACTCTCCAATGACAACAATGCGCCCGCAGTCCACTCAATTAGAAAATACGGCGCACTAACAGACGGAAAGGACACATTCCAGCGTTGCCGTGCAGCCGCTGACACAGGCCAAGTCAATTGTGTGACGTCAAGCAAATAAGCCATGTTTCATGTCCTAACTGCTAATTTACTTGTGGCAGTTAAGTGGCCTCAGATGAAAACGAATCAACGGGTTTTGTCATCGAAGAGTAGCTCAAGAGCTGGGGTTATGGACGTCGTGATTTCCTTGACTTTTGTGTGGTTGGAAAGAAAAAAAACACACACACACACACACACACACACACACACACACACACGCTAAGTGGACAGATGCCGGGAAGTCGGGGTGACAACAACGTGAGGCAAAGCAAAGTGAGAATGTGTTGATGTAAATAATGTGCGGACTCATTTAGACACATTTTCCATATGCTGTCACTTCCAACGGGGCGGGCCGCTCAAAGGAATGAGCCAAGTGTAAGACAAGTCGTTTGACCATGGCACTGGAATTTGTGCAACTGGTGGTGTGAGCACTTATCTTCACACACACGCGCACACACACACTATGAATCATGAATCAAAATAAGCTAATAAAACCCCTTACCGGAGCTGTATGAAACTTTACGTCTTTTCAAATCTAATTTCACTGAGGAATTAAATACACATGAAATGGGAACGTTGTGACGTGCTACAAAGCCAATTAAAAGCATGCCAATATGAGCTATTATCTCTGACAATGGTTTCAATTGTGTTAAATTTAGTCCATGACCACAAAGAATATCGCGGGTGGTGTTAACAGAGAAAGAGTTAGCTAATAGATGCCATTGTTCGGTTATTGGGTCGCCCTCATTATTGAAGGTCATCAAATGTCACGCGGTTCAAATGGCTCTTGCTACCCTTTTGCCAGACAGTTACTTATTTGAAGTGTCAACCTTAATTAACCTGCTCGGATGAGTTGGGAATGGACCCACAAAAAGACGGACCGGCTCACGCCAATCTCCTGTTACGTGACCATTTGGATACCACACAGGATGCGCCTATGAGAGGCTAGCACGTTAAGCTGCATTTGGACTGAGAGCTCTTGCAAAAGGAGCCTTGGACAACGGCGCCAATTGTTTTGAAAAGCACCCCGACGAAAAGCATTTTAGGATGGCCGCGGGCTGACGAAAATAGCACCTGTGGAGGAACACGGTGCTGTCAGTGCCGCTCGAGGGTGGAGGGTATAAGCGCACGTGCAACATGCTTGGGTATGTGCTTTAACACACTCCAAGAAAAAGACTCGGGATAAAGAGTGAGGGGGGGGGGAAAAAAAAAAAAAGATTACAAAGTTTTATTATTTTCCCGCTAACGTGAGCATTTACGCACACAAAAGCACCAGAGGCTTTGCTCCCAAAACACACACCTGTCTGAAAAGATGCCGCAGCTGCGTTGTCATGTCTGCCGCTGGGCGGGTCAGTCTGTCACAAGGCCGTGTCTGATTTAATACCGCTGGCAGAGATCACAAATGCAGGCATTCATTGTAAATAACTCTCCAATGACAACAATGCGCCCGCAGTCCACTCAATTAGAAAATACGGCGCACTAACAGACGGAAAGGACACATTCCAGCGTTGCCGTGCAGCCGCTGACACAGGCCAAGTCAATTGTGTGACGTCAAGCAAATAAGCCATGTTTCATGTCCTAACTGCTAATTTACTTGTGGCAGTTAAGTGGCCTCAGATGAAAACGAATCAACGGGTTTTGTCATCGAAGAGTAGCTCAAGAGCTGGGGTTATGGACGTCGTGATTTCCTTGACTTTTGTGTGGTTGGAAAGAAAAAAAACACACACACACACACACACACACACACACACACACACACACACACACACACACACACACACACTCAACATTCTGTGCGAGGAGATAGACTTGCTCAAACAAACAAATATCGCATGAACTGTAATATTCAAAGACGTGTCATTCACATCGTTATTAATCCATCGTGGACAGCTAGCGTCAGTGTCAGTTTTCTACACCATAAAAGTGTCACCGAACGTGAAAGGACGAGAAGGTGCTGCTTCCAAACAAAATGAAGCCTTTTTACTGAAAATCAGGCAAAATCCTGCAGAAACTTGATGGTTTAGTATGTTTCGGCCACTATTTACAGTACCAGTATATATTTAAAAAATTGACAACCGACTACTAATTTGGTTAACATCTGACCAAGGAAATTGTTCGTTGAGCCAATTAAAACAACTTCCTTGTTATTCTCTCATTAATAGCTCCTTCAACAGAGACACCAGACATGAGATGAATACACTGTGAGGTACCATCTCAGCCATTAGTCTCGTCTCACATGGCCTCATTAGCAAACGCTACTGAAGTGACAGTTCGGATGTGAAAATCTCGTCTCGGTCGACCGTCTGCCACCACCGCGAGCTAATGGAGCCAAAATAGCAGCACTGCTCCCATGTGACTATTTGTTAAGTCCGCAGTAAAGCCACCTCTTTAGGAGGTGGGGTGTGGGGGGAGGGGGGGGGGGCGCACAAGAGGACCATGGAAACATGCAGCCCTCGTTTCCACACCAAACAAACAAACATTCACAGACACACGACTGTAACGGCCATCTCTAATACGATGAAATGTCAAAATTACCCCTTTGATTACGAGACAGTAGCAGCTATAGGCACGAGGCCAACACGGTTTAGTCAAACACACACACACACACACACACACACACACACACACACACACACACACACACACACACACACACACACACACGACGATACATGATCGGATGGTTGCGGGATTCCTGTATCTAATTCGGGGAAATGATTTGTGAATCGCGAGACAGGAGGAATGATCCCAAAACTGAAGGGACGGCGGGGGCAGTAATATTTACCTTGACTTGATTACAAGCACACACATTCACACGGGGTGGGTTTAACCTTGACGACACTCTAACCTCTCGGCACCCTGGCCTCTGTTACCCAAGCTCGCATCTATCTCTCACCGTGCATGCCATCCAATAATGTCAACTACGAGCTCCTGTCAGTCTGTTTTTAAACACAAGGACAGAGACTCAATTACATGGCTTTTAGGGAGTCATCCTGCACCCAACACAAACACACACGCACGCACGCACCTGCTAACGGTTGTCAGATTTGCTGGCAAAATGTCAAAGGTCAAACCAATATGCATTCCAAAACAATCAGCGGGCTTCCAGCTCACTGCGTTGTTTACATCACTTGATTAGGATGACATACTGTTACTTTTTATAATCTGTAGCACGAAAGCTACAAAAAAAAAAAAAAAAAAAAGACGAATGAACAGCATAATAAAAGACAGTCAAGTGCTCAGTTTTGTGGTGCCCTTAACTGCTCACAGACACTCAATTTGCAGCAAGTAACAACATGAACACCACGACAGAAAATGAACACCAGCAAGCTGATCGATCCTGGAGTCTTCCATACCGCTGATATCTGGATCGTGTCTTTATTTTTTTTTCCAATTTGACACCCCCACACCCCACACACACACACACGGAGTATATATATCGACTTCTACGTCATTTCAAGCATGAGATCATGGATCAGCCGGACAGTACTCATCGGACAATAAATGCCTTCCGAGTGTGACAAATGCATTTAGCAGACAATTATAACTGCTTGTTGTGCATGTTTCATGTCACTCTTCCTCTGGGACCGACACTTCTCTGGCAAACATACAAAAGGACCCAAAATAACGGCGAGGGGTTGAGCGGGACATCAATCTGTGGCAGATCGACGGCCGTGTAATCCTAAACCTTCACCTTCCTCTTAATACCACTGCCCCCCAACCTCCGCTCACTCCTTAATACCCACACATACCAGGACAGAGTTGGCCCACAACAAATGGTCCGCCGACAAAGGGCAGAGTTCGGGCAGTAGCACTTGAGCACACAAATCCGCAAAATATACCACACACACACACACACACACACACACATTTGTGAACATACCCAAAAATTTAGACATATGTACGACAAATAGATGAAACCAAAAATTTGGCTTGGCACAATTGATAGGAGTCATCTCTTTTTTGACTCGCTCCCTCCTTGTCTTTGAAACCTGCAACCTTCGACCTGACTCGACCCGCCACATCGGGGCCCAATTTAAAACGAGTGAGAAAGACAAGAGCCAATCAACGAATACACGGAGCGCGTTCCCCGCCAAAAAGTACTACGGGGGAGAGGAGGGCGGGTTGGATTTGCGTGTAGATGGAGGTGCGTCTGTGTTACAAATACAAAAATAAAAAGGGCTCCTAAATCACAATACCAAAGGAAAGTGCAAATGCGATGATTAAAACGGGGGCGGAGGTGCAAACGGCATTAGCCACAAATACATCGGGATGCCGCTTATAAATGCCAGCTGGCCTTTCTGTCTGGCTGCAGTCGGAAACTGAGAAGTGCTTGGCTGACAGCTATGTGATTTCAGGGCTCCAAGAAAACGCAATGAAAATGACTTTCATTTGGTCAAACAGACGTCCAGCCTGAGTTCTGCTCACTTAGCTTCATCTAGCTGTACAACTTGAACGCGGGTTAGAAAGTTGTTTATTTGGATCAGTTTCACCGTCAGATTTAGGGATGAGTATTGTTAAAATGTTCATGACTCTAAACTATACTGCTTATTATTCCGGAACCTTATTTATGTTTGGAAAAACACAAACAATATAAGGAATCACCACTGCTTTGATTTTTTTTAAATAAATTATTTTGCCTTGCCACTGCAATAACATTAATGTAAAATAAATACATAAAAATGATTTACAGAAGTCATCTGAGATAGCAGAAAATCTTAATTAAAAAAGGAAACTGCGGCATCGCTTTGTGGCTCATGCGACAGCAAAAGACGAAAAAGTAATAAAAGTTGTTGTGCGCTGCCCATGAACTCGCGACAAAGAAGAATCCCACCTGCATGAAGGCAATCACACACAAACGTTACTGTGTTGCTATGTGACTGCAGGAACAAATGGGCTGACAAAGCAACAAGAACACACGGATTTATGGCCCCGCCTTCCATTAAGAACACAATATGTGCATAACGAGAATTTAATGAACGACTAACTCAAGGCAGCGCCTGACGCCTCCATGAGGATGTTCTCTATTGGATGTGGCAAGTGTGTGTGTGTGCGTGTGTGTGTGTGTGCGCGCGTGCAGAGTTCAATTATGATATCGCGTTTAGCTGTTTATGTCATGCTGGACATATCTCTTCGCACCTCTTTACTTGGCGTGTGCACATCCATGTTTCTCCATTAGGAAGTGTCGAAGGAAGTCATTACATCAGATTTAACGGGGATATTTTTGTGTGCAGTTCCATGGTTGAAATATAATACATTACATGAGAGAAGACAAATATTTATTTGGGGAATTAGATTTAAACACGCAAAAGAGGGGTTAATGAAAAAAGTGGGAAGGCAGGCAGGGGTGGTCGCCAAACAAATATGATGCAGCAACGCCCCCTTGTGGATGATATTATGTGTTCAGTAAAATAGTGTTAGCTGGCGTCAAATTGATTGGAGTGTGTTCCTTCCTGTGTGTGCGCTGCACTCACCTCCCTGCCCTTGTGGGTGACCAGGGCAGCCAGCGGTTTGGCATAAAAGCGACTGTAGCTAAATCCCAAGCAGCCGTACATGCTGTTGGCCGTTAGCTTCAACGCCTTCTGACGGATGTCATACTGAGAAACGCAAATTGACGGGGTTTAACTTTGACAAGCATTTGGTCACCTGGGAGGAGTGTGCTCAAGTTTGCGTCTGTGTGTACCTGCAGGTAAAGGTCCGAGTTGATGTCCTGTTGTTTCATTAGCTGTTTAACATTCTTGCGTCGTTCTACCAGCTTCCTGATCTCTTTGGGCAAGATTCCCATTTCCAGGTCACTATCTGGAATCTCTGGGATCTCTTCGGGCTCATCCTCCTGTTGCCATAGAAACAACACGACGACGTTTTAACACCAAAGTGCTTCAACAACAGAAGAGCGAATGTAAAGATAAAAGCCACAGTGACACATGAGCACCCGTGGGTGTCCCACCCCACACCCACACATACACACACCCACCCGCACCTGATTCCTCTTTTGCTTGCTGGAGGCCTCCCGTTGCACGGTGGTGAAGCAGATGTTAAACTCTTGTATGATGGAAGGATACAGGCTGTTGAAGTCGAGCAGCAGCACAAACTTGTCGTAGAAACCTGCAGACCGAAGCAGGGATTTTTTTTCTTTTAATTAACTCAATAAATGGATAAATATAAAGGAGGACAGAATGATGCAAACCAAACGTACCAACTTTAGGATCAAGCACCAGCCCTCCTGCATAGGCAGCCTTCTTCTTACGCTTCCCTTTGCCAGTATCGACATCATCATCTCCTTCATGCTGGGACATGTGGTAAAAAGCGGTCATATTTTCCGCAGTCATGCAAACAAATTGATAGCAAGAAAGCGACAGCTGCTGGCGTGTTTGAGGTCTTACCGTGTCCATCTGAATTTTCCTAAAGGACGGTTTGTCCGGCACGATGTAGTTCTTGTCATGGAAGGCGTGAAGTAACAGGTACTCGTTTCTTTCGGCCCGACCGCCCATCAGAGTACGAGACTGTGGGGAAGATGATTAAGCTGGACTATTAAAAGACAACTTTGCAGCGTGAGCGCGCAGTGGAATCTCACGTTACCATGATGTTGCCGGCAATGTTGGTGATCTGCAGGGCGAGTGGCAGCACGTTGAGCTCGCACATCATTTGGAGGATCAGCTTGGCGTCGGTCCACGTCAGCTCCAGCAGGTAGAGCAGACGAGGAGAATCACTGGCGTGCAGACAGCCACATAAATAAAAATAATAATGATGTGTCACGCGAGCTATAAAGAAGCTGACGTCCACAACGTGGTTATCTATCTACAGAAATCATTTCCGCTTGTTTGATCCGCACCGGGATTCGTTTGTGTTTTATTCACACTTGGATAAATGGTCCGGACCAATCAATGTGGGAAACAGAGCCTGGTCTGTTCAAAGTGGACCAAACAGTGCAGGTGTGACGACGTTAAAAAAAAACAATGATGGACATGGTCTTAATGACAGGAGAGACACCTGTAAAGATTTCGGATGCTCTCTTCTGGGACGGTGACTCGCTCTGTCTTCAGCACCTGCGCGGCCAACTCAGTCAGATGGTAACTCTTGCAGCGAATCAACTCCTTTGCAGAGATCTCTGTGTCGCACACGAGACGGCCACAGGTGGCGCTCTTCTCTGCAAAGGCGCCTCGGCCCTGCAAGCAAACGGCCGTTAGTCATAACGCAAGATGGCACGGCACTTGTCCGATGGCTTGATCAAGCTCACCCCTAATTTAGGCATGTTAGCCCTCCTGAGTCGTCCTATCTTGGACCAGTGCGGAACTTTGCAGTAGTTAATTCTTTGCAGAAGCACTTCAAGGTCAAAGCCAAAAATGTCATGGCCCTTAAAGGAAGAAGCAGAAAGTCTTTAACCAAACAAGTAAACATACCGTGGATGGGAGAAAAAATATATATATAAAGTCTCACCACAAGTACATCAGGATCAATTTTCTGCATCTTGGCCAGGAAGAAGCCAAGTAGAGTTCTTTCCGTCGTGGCTATCTCCACTTTAGCATTCTACAAGAGCAAGGCATCTTCAGTATGTTGGTCCAGAACATCAAGGGAGGGCATCATACAACTCAATTCATATCCATTCATCAAAACGGAACATTATTATCCTTCTGAAGTAAGATTTAATTGGCACCGTTCTTATACAAAATCTCATTCTGGTACACTGCGGTAGGAATGGATGCATGGTCGTTTTTCTATGTGTCCCCTTTTGGCTGGCGAACAGTCCAGAGTCCACCTCCTCCATCCCAAAGTCATCAGCAGTACATTATGACATGACATGACCCTGGAATCGCCATCATTTTCTATTAAAACTGCATCTTCATGCTCTCGACGCAATAAAAAACCCAATTTTTGTTGAATCAAAACTACACACAATTTTCTCAGGGAGGTAAAAAAGGGCCAGCTCACCTTCTTTCTCAGTGCATCCTTGAAATCGTAAGGGAAGATACAGTCAGAAGGTTTAGTCACCACTGAAAGACAAAATGTGGCATTTTATGAGCTCCGGTTGGTTCACATCTTAGCAGTGTGTGATGAACAAAAGAAGTCTCAGGAGCTCACCACAAAAATGAGTTTGATAAGGCGGCTGAGGAGGAGGTTTGTCCATGTGGAAGCGATGGTGGACAAGTGCTGCCAGGGACACGATCTGCACAATGAGAGAACAGTCCTCCATTGAAAGAAAAAAATGAAGAAAAATGGCCAAAAGTCCTCCAAAAGAAATCAACCAGTCAGCTCTGACCTCATTGTGATGAGTCTTGGGGTTCTGGACTGTCTTGAGGCTGATAGACATCACCGTGACGGGTGGCGGTGCCAAGTCTTTCACCACGGTGACCAGATCACTCTTCGGGACAAGAGCCTCGACTTTGCACCAGCTGACAGCCTGACTGAGCAGCTCTATCGCGCGCAAACAAAAATATTTGTCTGTCTATATATTTTATTGAGAACTATTTGAAATAGACAGTGCTGTACCACTTTATTTTAGTTTAAAAAAAAAATCGCCTCTCACGTGGTGTCTTCACGTCCAGCCAGCACGGCCCTTTTATCTTCCGACTGAGGAGGAACTGTTCCAAGCTGGAAGTGTTGGTTCCAAAAATGTGGGAAAATGTTGCCCCCTTAAGGTCAGGCGGCAGAGCAGGGAACTCGGCCTTCAAAAACAAGTACGATTCATGTTTTCATCAGAAGAAAAAAAGGGGGGAAAGTGGGGGGCTGCCACATGAGCATTTACTCACTGAATAGCGGACTTCCAGGTACTCGCTTTGCGTGGGCACGTCAGGAATTTCAAAGGCATAGTTTTTCTCCACTTTCTGAAGCCAAAACAAGGGTGAGATTTGACACAAAAAAAATATACGGGCTGTGCTATAAGGTGATCGAGGGAGGAGTACCTTGGACTTGAACTTCATGATCTTGAACTTGTCAGAAAGTTCACTGAACTCCTGGTAGATGTCCATCATTCCAACGGGCGTATCAGACACCTCCCCCGTCTTGGGGTTTACTTTCTGTGGAGAGAAAACATTAGGGCTTAAGAATTGAATGTTTTAAATTGTTTTCATGAGCATCCTACTTATATCAACATCATAATGTTCACATTCTTGCGGCTGCAGTTTGCAACATACATATTCACGTGGCAGGATGTACATGGTGCGTTCTAGGTTCCTGATCGAGACGCAGCAGCTTGTATGAGTCTGGGCCGACTCTATCCACACCTTCCCAAACAGGTATACCACGCCTGCGTGACAAAAACAGGAGGAGGTTGCGCTTGAAGAATATACAAACGATTTGTCAGAGGATGTAATATGTTGCCATACCAGGTTGAATGTAAGGGTCTTCGAAAGCGTCCAGCCAATAGAATCGGAAAACCCGCTCGCCATCTGGACCTTCCACCAATGGCAGCTTGCGTGAGTCCACCTGCACCTCTGCAGGAGCCTCGCTGACTGCACCCTCTCCATCATCGAGCCCCCAGAAACCTCCTGTCTTGCTGCATCCAGAACCACACACATCACAACGTATCATAACAATCCCATGCAAAATGCACAAAATCTAGTGAGATCACCAGAGGAAACAAGAGCTGGCTTGGTTGCACCCCCCCCCACCAATAGCAATAGTAATCTATTTAATTTCTATACCACAGCAATATGTTGGTTTGCTTCTAAAACAAAAAAAAAAAAAGTGCAAAAACGGGATATGAGTTGTCAGGATGATTCGTGTGCAAAAAAA